AATCCATTTTTCATCACACGTCACAATCAAATCAAGAAATGATACATTGTTGTTGGGTAGAATAAGAGAAGACAGCACTTCAAAACAACAATTTTTTAAATTTGCTGTCAGCTCAGGAGGCACCACTTATCAAGCTTTTTTACCTTTCCAATTTGCTTCAAATGCCAAACAACCACAGAATGGTCAACACTGAGTTCTTTGGCAACTTCTCCTATAGTTGTAGGAGGATCAGCTTCAATGATAGCTCTCAATTGGTCATTGTCAACTTCCGATGGGCAACCACTGCACTCCTCATATTCATGGCTCTCATCTCCTTTGCAAAACTTCTTGAACCACCACTGGACTGTACGTTTGTTAGCAGTTCCTGGGCCAAATGCATTGTTGATGTTGTGAGTTATCTCCACTGTTTTACAACTCATTTTGAACTCAAATAATAAAATCGTTTGAATTAGATTTTTGTCTAACATAATATCCCTGGTCTAAAATAAATATAAAAAACAGCAAGTAATAAGTTATTAGCAAAAAAAAAAAAACAACAAAAACAAAACATAAAGCAAGAAATGCACATTAAAATGATGTATAACATAACCACATTTATTTAAGAATATATTCCAATATCAAACAGAAAAATTCAACAATGCAAGGCCGCAATTACTTTTGCTCCAACCTAATATATACATACACATGTGTATATACATACATATACACACAGATACATTCATACACACACATACATAAACAAAAGCCCAGGACCAGATGGCTTCATAGCTGAATTCTACCAAAAATTTAGAGAAGAGTTAACACCTATCTTACTCAAACTCTTCCAGAAAATTGCAGAAGAAGGTAAACTTCCAAACTCATTCTATGAGGCCACCATCACCCTAATTCCAAAACCAGACAAAGATGCCACAAAAAAAGAAAACTACAGACCAATATCACTGATGAACATAGATGCAAAAATCCTTAACAAAATTCTAGCAAACAGAATCCAACAACATATTAAAAAGATCATACATCATGACCAAGTGGGCTTTATCCCAGGAATGCAAGGATTCTTTAATATCCGCAAATCAATCAATGTAATACACCACATTAACAGATTGAAAGATAAAAACCATATGATTATCTCAATAGATGCAGAAAAAGCCTTTGACAAAATTCAACATCCATTTATGATAAAAACTCTCCAGAAAGCAGGAATAGAAGGAACATACCTCAACATAATAAAAGCTATATATGACAAACCCACAGCAAACATTATCCTCAATGGTGAAAAATTGAAAGCATTTCCCCTAAAATCAGGAACAAGACAAGGGTGTCCACTCTCACCACTACTATTCAACATAGTTTTGGAAGTTTTGGCCACAGCAATCAGAGCAGAAAAAGAAATAAAAGGAATCCAGATAGGAAAAGAAGAAGTGAAACTCTCACTGTTTGCAGATGACATGATCCTCTACATAGAAAACCCTAAAGACTCTACCAGAAAATTACTAGAGCTAATCAATGAATATAGTAAAGTGGCAGGATATAAAATTAACACACAGAAATCCCTTGCATTCCTATACACTAACAATGAGAAAACAGAAAGAGAAATTAAGGAAACAATACCATTCATCATTGCAATGAAAAGAATAAAATACTTAGGAGTATATCTACCTAAAGAAACAAAAGACCTATACATAGAAAACTATAAAACACTGATGAAAGAAATCAAAGAGGACACAAATAGATGGAGAAATATACTGTGTTCATGGATTGGAAGAATCAATATTGTGAAAATGAATATACTACCCAAAGTAATCTATAGATTCAATGAAATCCCTATCAAGCTACCAGTGGTATTCTTCACAGAACTAGAACAAATAACTTCACAATTTGTATGGAAATACAAAATACATCGAATAGCCAAAGCAATCTTGAGAAAGAAGAATGGAACTGGAGGAATCAACCTGCCTGACTTCAGGCTCTACTACAAAGCCACAGTCATCAAGACAGTATGGTACTGGCACAAAGGCAGAAACATAGATCAATGGAACAAAATAGAAAGCCCAGAGATAAATCCACGTACCTACAGACACCTTGTCTCTGACAAAGGAGGCAAGAATATACAATGGAAAAAAGACAACCTCTTTAACAAGTGGTGCTGGGAAAACTGGTCAACCACTTGTAAAAGAATGAAACTAGAACACTTTCTAACACCATACACAAAAATAAACTCAAAATGGATTAAAGATCTAAATGTAAGACCAGAAACTATCAAACTCCTAGAGGAGAACATAGGCAAAACACTCCAACATAAATCACAGCAGGATCCTCTATGACCTACCTCCCAGAATATTGGAAATATAAGCAAAAATAAACAAATGGGACCTAATTAAACTTAAAAGCTTTTGCACAACAAAGGAAACTATAAGCAAGGTGAAAAGACAGCCTTCAGAATGGGAGAAAATAACAGCAAATGAAGAAACAGACAAAGGATTAATCTCAAAAATATACAAGCAACTCCTGCAGCTCAATTCCAGAAAAATAAATGACCCAATCAAAAAATGGGCCAAAGACCTAAATAAACATTTCTCCAAAGAAGACATACAGATGGCTAACAAACACATGAAAAGATGCTCAACATCACTCAATATCAGAGAAATGCAAATCAAAACCTCAATGAGGTACCATTCCACGCCAGTCAGAATGGCTGCTATCCAAAAGTCTATAAGCAATAAATGCTGGAGAGGGTGTGGAGAAAAGGGAACCCTCTTACACTGTTGGTGGGAATGCAAACTAGTACAACCACTATGGAGAACAGTGTGGAGATTCCTTAAAAAACTGAAAATAGAACTGTCATATGACCCAGCAATCCCACTCCTGGGCATAAGGAAACCAGATCTGAAAGAGACACGTGTACCCCAATGTTCATCACAGCACTGTTTATAATAGCCAGGACATGGAAGCAACCTAGATGCCCATCAGCAGACAAATCGATAAGGAAGCTGTGGTACATATACACTATGGAATATTACTCAGCCATTAAAAAGAATTCATTTGAATCAGTTCTAATGAGACGGGTGAAACTGGAGCCCATTATACAGAGTGAAGTAAGCCAGAAAGATAAAGATCGATACAGTATAGTAACGCATATATATGGAATTTAAAAAGATGGTAACGATAACCCTATATGCAAAACAGGAAAAGAGACACAGATGTACAGAACAGACTTTTAGACTGTGGGAGAAGGTGAGGGTGGGATGCTCTGAGAGAACAGCATTGAAACTAGTATACTATCAAGGGTGAAACAGATCACCAGCCCAGGTTGGATATATGAGACAAGTGCTCAGGGCTGTTGCACTGGGAAGATCCAGAGGGATGGGATGGAGAGAGAGGTGGGAGGGGGGATCGGGATGGGGAATACATGTAAATCCATGGCTGATTCATGTCAATGTATGGCAAAAACCACTATGATATTGTAAAGTAATTAGCCTCCAACTAATAAAAATAAATGGAAAGAAAAAAGATACATTCATACACACATACACATATATACAGACACACACATAAACATATAACCATGTACATACATGTGTATATACACACACATATATATGCATCAACACATATCCCTATGCACATACATAAACATATATACATGCACACACATAAGCCCCAGCTCTCTGTCAATATTATTTGTCACTAAATCCCTACATGTACAATGATGTTTGGCACATAGTAGTTGCCCCATAAATATTTATGGGATGAAAGGATGACTATTGAGGGCCACATGCTATTGAGTGATTTTTATTATTTTAAAGGTTCACACCAATATAAAATACTCAGTTTGTGGATAAGAGTTTGGTAGTTTCTCAAAAGGTTAAACATAGTTACCATTGTTGTTGTTTAGTCACTCAGTTGTGTCTGATTCTTTTGCAACCCCATGGACTGTAGCCCACCAAGCTATTCTGTCCATGGATTTCCCAGGCAAGAATACTGGAGTGGGTTGCCATTTCCTTCTCCATATGAACCATCAATTCCACTCCTAGGTATATACTCAAGAAAATTAAAAATATTTGTTCACACAAAAATGTATATGTGAGTGTTCAGAGCAGCACTACTCATAATAACAAGAAAGTAGAAACAACCCAAATGTCCTTTAAGTGATGAATGGATAAATAAAACAGGATATATCTGTGTGGTAGAATATCATTTGACCATAAAGAAGAAGGACCTTCTGACACATGCTACAACTTGGATAGGACTTGAAAACTTTACGGTAAATGAAAGAAGCTAGACACAAAAGGCCATATGTTGTATAATTCCATTTAAATGAAATGACCAGAATAGACAAACCCACAGAGACAGAAAGTGGATTAGTGGTCACCAGGGGCCAGGAATACAGGAGAATGGAGAGTGACAGCTAATGAGTGTAGAGTTTCTTTTTGTTTTGTTTTGTTATTAATGTTTGTTTATTTGGCTGCATCAGGTCTTAGTTGTGGCATGTGGGCTGTTTGATCTTTGTGGTGACATGCAAAGGCTTAGTTGTAGCATGTGGGCTCTAGTTTCCTAACCAGGGATCAAACCTGGGCCCTCTGCATTGGGAGCACAGAGTCTTAGCCACTGGATCACCAGGGAAGTCCTCAGAGTTTTTGAAGTAAAGAGAATGTTCAGAATTAGGTAGTGGAGACAGTTGCACAATTCTGTGAATATACTAAAACACTTAATTGTATATTTTAAGATGGTAAATTGTATGTGAACTTTCTCTAAATATATATATGTATATACCTGTGTTAGATATTCTTTTATCCCTATCTTACAGATGATGAAACTAAGTGCCCAGCAGAAGCTCTGCCCTGGTGCCCCTCAACTATACTCCAACCTGCATCTTTCAGGACCATCCTGCAGTAACTTAGGTCAACAGGAGGTGAGTTGCCTAGAGAGTTGCTGCCCTAAGGCCCTTTCTAACCTGTTATTGTTAGTTAGTCCGTAAGTCGTGTCCAACTCTTTGCGACCCCATGGACTGTGGCCCACCAGGCTTCTCTGTGCATGGGATCTTCCAGGCAGAGTACTGGAGTGGGTTACTATTTCCTTCTCCAGGGGATCTTCCTGACCCAGTGATCAAACCCTGCATCTACTCCTGGCAGGCCAGTTCTTTACCGCTGAGCTACCTGGGCCTCCCTACCATTCAGGAGCCTGCTGTGAGGCCATTTTTCATCCACGCCCTGGTTCCCACCTGTCTCCTTGGCTTTCAGAAGGATGCGTCGGCAGCCCTTGAGTCAGTCCATAAAACTGCTTGGTTCAAGTTGAGACTGGGCTTCTGCACAGAAGAGCCGCCCACTACCCCTGCCATCTGTCACTCAAACCACCAGCTCGGGGTTGTCCTGAAGGGACACCAGTTGCTGACACCATGCTGATTTTGATTTTGCTCTCTGTGTGTGTAACGTTTGATCTAAATCCACATGGGCTCAGTACCTACTTGCAGCCCAACCTGTGGAAGTGTGGCCGGCCAGCCTGGCAGCTGAAGCGGTGATCCTCATTGCCCTGTCAGCTACCATACTGCTGCCTGGGGAATGCTTGACACTGAAAAGCAGAGATGAAACAAATTTCCCCAGGCTCCACCGCTGCTGGAGCTGAGAAACTGACCAGGTGGTCTGACTCGAATTAGACAAAGGAAAATTCATCTGGCATGATAGCTAATGAGACATGCATGCGTGCTAAGTCACTTGAGTCGTATCCAGCTCTTTGAGACCCTATGAACTGTAGCCCGCCAGGCTCCTCTGTCCATGGGATTCCCCAGGCAAGAGTAATAGAGTGGGTTGCCATGCCCTCCTCCAGGGGATCTTCCCGACCCAGGGATGGAACCTGGGTCTCCCTCATTGCAGGCAGCTTCTTTACCGTCTGAGGCACCTGGGCTATTGCCTCTCAAATTGCCCCTGATGTTTCCAGAGGCTGAAGGTCATCACCATGAGGAACACGAAGGTCATGACGCCTCACCTAGGCCTTCATTTGCCAGCCTGACCTTTCAGCTGCCTCTTCCGTCCTTGAGATGGACAAGCTTGCCTCATTCCTGTGAAGTTGAGGCAGCAGATCTTGCAAAATTTCCGCTTGTCCGTGGCGGAAGGGATCGGTTCCGCAGCCATGGGAGGGATGGAGGTGGTGGCAGGGCTGCAGAGCCACTGTGAATGGACTCCATGCTGATGAAGAGGCAAGGAGGGCTGGGAAGTTTCCTGTTGGGGAATGAATTCCAGTGCTGGGTGAGGCTGGGATTTCACAGCATCTTTCCTCTGAGCCCGATTCTCCTGCTCTGTGAGATCCGGGGACGAATAGCTTCCTCACAGAGACCAGCTGTGTCAATGAGCAGGCGTCAAGTCTGTGGCATCACCTGGCAGTTTCACAGCAAGAAGCCCCAACAATGGGTCTAGTGAGGAGAGGTCTGGGGCAAATGCATGCTTCCATGACCTCACCCATGGAGAAGTCTGTCCTTCTGGCTCTAAAAGCAGGCAGGCACTGTCTGGTGAGAGGTTTATATTTATATATATATATATATATATATATATTTATTTATTTATTTATATTTGGCTGCACTGGATCTGTGTTGCTTGTGTGGGTTTTCTCTAGTTCTGGCGAGCAGAGACTACTCCCTAGCTGTGGTGCACAGGCTTCTCATCGCAGTGATTTCTCTTATTGCAGAGCACGGTCCCTAGGGCTCAGCAGCTGTGGTGCATGGGCTTAGTTGCCCATTACATGTGGGATCTTCTCCAGCCAGGGATCAAACCCGTGTCCCCTGCACTGGCAGACAGATTCTTAACCACTGGACCCCAGGGAAGCCCTGGTGAGAGGTTTCTAAACAGTCTCAAAATCAGCTCTGAGTCAAGTTTTGCATCATTTGAGCAACTTTTATCCTTTTACTCAACTCTGTGGTCCAGTCAAGCCAGCAAGAACCAAGCAGAGTGACTTCCCTGATGGTCCAGTGGTAAAGAATCTGTCTGCCAATATAAGGAACGGGTTTGATCCCTGCTCCAGGAAGATCCTACAGGTCAAGGTGCAACTAAGCCCCTAAGCCACAACTACTGAAGTCACACTCCTAGAGCCCCATGCTCTGCAACAAGAGAAGCCACCGCAATGAGAAGCCTGTGCATCACAACACAGTATCCCCCACTCGCCACAACTAGAGAACGCCTGCATATCACAGCAAAGACCCAGCACAGCCAAAAATAAGTATAAATAAATAAATAAATTTTAAAAAGAACCAAGCAGAACATTTTTCAAGGAGCCTTGAAAAGGGGGTGACCTCATATTGAATATGGATTCTGCAGAGAATCTCCTTATTTAGAGAGAAAAGAACTAAGCTTGCCAGCACCATGCATGCCTGCTAAGTTGCTTCAGTCATGTCTGACTTTTTGCAGCCCTATGAACTGTAGCCCACCAGGCTCCTCCATCCATGGGATTCTCCAGGTAAGAATACTGGCATGAGTTGCCCTGCCCTCTTTCAGGGGATCTTCCCCACCCAGGGATCAAACCTGTGTTTCTTACACCTCCTGCACTGGTAGGTAGATTCTTTACCACTGCTGCTGCTGCTAAGTCACTTCAGTCGTGTCTGACTCTGTGCGGCCCCATAGACAGCAGCCCACCAGTCTCCCCTGTCCCTGGGATTCTCCAGGCAACAACATCGGAGGGGGTTGCCATTTCCGTTTCCAATGCATGAAAGTGAAAAGTGAAAGTGAAGTCGCTCAGTCGTGTCTGACAATTAGCAACCTCATGGACTGCAGCCTACCAGGCTCCTCCATCCATGGGATTTTCCAGGCAAGAGTACTGAAGTGGGGTGCCATTGCCACTAGTGCCAGCTAATGTTTATTATTGCATCCTTAGTTTGTGCTCAGTTGCTTCAGTCATGTTCAACTCTTTGAAACCCCATGGACTGTAGCCTCCCCGGCTCCTCTGTCCATGGGATTATCCAGGCAAGAATACTGGAGTGGGTTGCCATTTCCTTCTCCTTTAAACCAGGAATTTAGATGTATAATTTCATCATCTCATTTAATTCACTGTCATTACCCCATTTTACAAAGAACCTAACCCTGAGACCCAGAATGGATACATAACCTGTCCCAGGTCACACTGGCCAGTGGGATGAGGTATGTTCCAGCAGGGTGAGGTTGGATGTTCTTCAGGCAGAGACAGAATCTGGAGAGCCAACCTGCATTCAAGAAATAAGGATGAAGTTCAGGATGTGGCCACCTGGGGGCAGTGCATAAACACCAAATGGAAAAGCCACCCACTGCCCAACCCTCTTGGAGGCCTCCAAGGGGTCCCTTTGTACACTTACTTTACAAATTTCCGGAGCAGTAGTGGAATCTTTCCTCCTATGCAAGGGTTCTCTCAACAATGGGCCAGGAAGGACTACAAAATAATAGAGAATAAGTGGTAGCACTTACCACCTGAACCCCAGAGGTTGCAATACCCTGCAAGCACCAAGGCTGATGTGGCAGCCAGCAATGAACCAGAGCAGAAGGGAGCTATGGAGATGGTGATAGAAACATTTTGGCATAGCCACGGACAAAACAGTTGGCTAGCCAGCAAGAGCAGTACTCAAACTGAAAAATCCAGGATGACGATGATGAAGTCACATGCGTGCTCAGTCGTGTGCAAATCTTTGTGACCCCATGGACTGTAGCCCACCAGGCTCCTCTGTCCATGGGGTTTCCCAGGCAAGAATACTGGAGTGGGTTGCCATTTCCTCCTCCAAGGGATGTTCCTGACCCAAGAATCAAACCTTCTTCTCCTGCGTCTCCTGCACTGCCGTTGGATTCTTTACCTCTGAGCCACCAGAGAATCCCTGATAAAGGCACACCCCTTTGCCTATTTCTACACAGAGGCAGTTTTTGAACCCAGAATCCATTGACTAAAGAAGAGGCTGGAGGGAACCCTGGCGGTCCAGTGGTTAGAACTTGGCATTTTCATTGCGCGACCTGGATTCAATCCCGTCAGGGAACTAAGGGAACTAAGATCGATCACTGCAGCCTGGCCAAGAAATAAAAATTAAAATATAAAAGAAGAAACTGGAACTCCAGGCAGATGGCCCCGGTGATGAATGGCAATTGAATATGGTAATGATTCCTTTAGCCTTCTCCCAATTGGGACCTATGGCTATTAACCTGGGTAATTAAGCATTGGGAAATACCTAAAATTTGGAGAAAATTTGCCCACGGATTCCCAGTTGACTTTGATAACCTGAGATCCATGGCCCCTAAAGGACAGGAGCCTGTAGGGCAACAGAGTAAATGGGAGTCAGTGGAGTTCTAGCCAATGTCCACTTTGCAGCAAGTCCTCTGAGGTTGGTAGAACCCCATAGGCATTTCCCTTGTCCCTGCTGTGTGTTGGAAATACAGTTGGTAGTTGGCTTAATCCCAAGGGTTCTTTTAATTATAGTGATTTGAATGGGGATATAATGGCCTCTCAATGTGGTTTTAATTTACTTTTCCAAATTGACTAATGACATTCAACATCTTTCACATGCTTATTAGACACTCATATATCTTCTCTGGTGAAATGTTTATTTTGCCCATCCACATCTTGATTGGTTTGTTTGTCTTCTTACTGGGTTCGGTTTCTAATATACTCTGGAAACAAGTCCTTATCACATATAATTTGTGCAAATAATTTCTCCCAGTCTGTGGTTTATCTGTTCATTCTCTGAATAGTTTCTTTCACAGAGTGAAGGTTTTTATTTTGATGACATTCCATTTTTATTAATTTTAAATTCACATAACATAAAATTAATCATTTTCATTATTTTCCACAGCAGATGCACCATTTTACAATTGCCGCAACAATGCACAGTGTTCCAATTTCTCCACATTCTCACTGACACTTGTTATTTTCCGTTAAAAAGAATATATCCATTCTAATTAATGTGAAGTGGTATCTCATACTGGGTTTGGTTTACATTTTCCTTATGACTATAATATTGAGCATATTTTCACGTGCTTACTGGCTAACTGTATATCCTATTGGAGAGATATCAAGTTAAGCCGTTTGCCCATTTTTAAACTTGGCATATGATTTATATGAAATATTTTCTCTCATTCTCTGAGTTGTCTTTTCATCCTCTTGATAGTGTCCTTTGATGTATAAAAGCTTTTAATGTTGTCTCTGTAATCCATTTGACTTAACTTTAAAATATAAGGCATGAAGTTCATTTTTTTTTTTTGCCTATGGATATAGAATTATTCCAGTATCATTTATTGGAAATATTATCTTTCCTCCAGTAAACCAATGTCAAAAATCAAATCTCCATTTTTCTCTCTATCCTGTTTCATTGATCTGTGTATCTAAATGTTCACCAATAGCACATTGTCTAGGTTATTTAGGGCTTCCCTTGTGGCTCAGCTGGTAAAGAATCCACCTGCAATGCAGA